CACAAATTTCGGCTCATTCTGATTTACCAGTCTGGAATTTTAGTTTATCAGTGGATTTCCTGTTTGGCCAGAGGGAATGGCTGACAGCTTTGCCACAGCCAAACTTTTGGGTTATCACTCATCATGGTTCACTATAATAGAGGAGTGAATTCTAGGAATGCCCTAAAAACCTTTCGGAGGTGCTTTGCGTTAACCTCCTCCCTCCCTTCCGTTATCCCCCAACTCCCCTTCCAGCCTCACCTCCTCCCTTCCATTCCACCTTCTGACCCTCAATTCCGGGCACCAACCAGATTCATCCCGCCCATCGACCAACCAGGTCGTATCTACCACCAGTGTCCACCTATCACCACCATTCTGCTTCCACCCCCCCAACCCCCCCCTTTATCTGCAGCTCCCCCTACCTCCACATCCAGTCCTGAAGAAGGGTAATACCTGAAACGTTGACTGCTCCTTTCCTCCAGATGCTGCCTGGCTTGCTGTTTGTTTACCATGATTTGAGTTGATTCATTATATGGCAAATTGCCCAGAGTGAGTCCTTGGAATGATAGATGATGCAGTGCATTCTGAAGAAGAGTTTGAAGATAATGATGAATTGAAACAGGTTATACTGGTCATTAAGAAATTTACTCCTGTGCTGAATGTGTTAGGATTGGATTTGTTTGAGTGTGTGTCAGCCTTTTCAATAGTATGTAGACAAGACTGATTAAAATGTTATCTTGATTCATTACGTGATGAGGAACAACACAAGTCTAAGGAATATGCACGTAGTGCTTGTATAGCGTTTGTTGACATAATTGAGATCATCGAAGAGTTGTAACTACATGTAAAATATTTGGATTTGGCCTTTTTTATAAGTACTAATGGAGTCTCTGGTGAAGTATCTTGGTGTTGAGTAAACTTTATCAAAAGATCACAAATAAAAACACAACAGAGCACAATAAGGCAAAACCTTTTGGAAAATCAATGTATATTCAGTTTATATATTCAGGACATTATTGTATACACTTAAAGCCTGATTATTCTGTCAGTGTGTTAGACAAGTGTTCCAGACAAGGGGATGAGGTGAATTTAATTATTTTATTGATCTCCTCTCCTGTGTGTGAGTAGAAGTGTTTTTGAAGTTTCCTATTTCTTGTCCCTTTTAAAATAGGCTGTGTGTGTTTCCCAAACTCTCTGTTGTGAACACCAGTTTTTCGATATTTTGCAAATATGGTCTATTCATACATTCAAACCCAGGGGATGCAAACTGTGACTTAACTAGGAGTTTCTCTGCCCCTGGTATGGAACCAGTGGTATGCCATTAGGGCTCTCCTCAGGTATATTAAGTTTGAAAAGCTCCCCTTTGTTCAGAACAACTGGGGCACATATTATCTGCTGGTTTATTGGTGTTTGTAGACTGGGAGGTCCACACACCGCAAAGATGAAACCCTCCAAGAGGAAGGTGTAAGCTCGGTCCTGATTACTGCTGGTTGGAACTTCCTACTAGTGTGATCAACCTGCATCAGGTGATCAGTGGCAGGCATGTTGCAGACCAACAAAATTTATTTTAACATTTAAACAAGAACAGTTGAATTAGGAGCAGGAGTAGTCCATTCACAGCCCCTCAAGCCATTCAACAGGGTCATGGCTGATCTGATTGTAGCCTCAAATGTGCACTCCAGCTTCCTCTGATATCCTTTCACTACTTTTTACAAAAATCTAACCACCTTTTTCTTATGAGTATTCAAGGACTCTGTTTCCTTCATCTTTTTCAGGAACAGAGTTCCAAAGACTCGGCACCCTCTGAGAGACAAAGTAAAAATTAC